ACACAAGTAAATTTACGAAAGTGAAACCAAAACTGAAAGTAAAAGTTAAAGTCATCACCTTCGAATTTTTTTTTTATATATTATTTTTTTTATTTTTTTTTATTTTTATTTTTTTTTATTTTTTTGTGCAAATTCATGTAAAACATTTTTCTGCCAAGTTGACAAAATTTTGCCAGAACAGTGAAGCGAAAAAAAATCGAACTTTTAATGGCATTAACGATGCGTACACCCAAGCCAAAAATCAAGGATAAAAGCCGTGAAAAGAACAAAAAAGCCAGCGATTTAATGTAATAAATTTAAAAAGAAACAATTTTCGTCACTCGAAAACAGAAATAAGCCAACCACTGCCAACGCCGTTACGTGGCGCTGTATCTGCGCGATTTTACTGAATTAATTTAATTTTGAAACGATAATGGCGGCGATTCCGCAAACCCGATTTCAATTATAAAAATGGCGAATTTCATTTAATAAACGTGCCCAAGTGTTTATATAACGTATCAGTGCATTACTCAGTGCTAAGTGTTAGAATATTTAATTTATTATTTTTACAATTTTTTTTTTGTTGAATATATATTTAAATAAATCAAGCCACAAATTGTGTTATTCATTGACAAATTTTCACAATAAACAACAACAACAACAACGGAAACTACAACAAATACCGGATAGAGGATTACAAAAATTTATCTTCTCTTGGATCTAACAAATTACGAAATTTTCATGTTTTTGATTGTGTTTTTTACGGATTTTTGAAAAACAATAAATTTAATTACTTCAACTGAATTACTCTGGCATATTGAATTAAATTGTGTGGTAAATTGAAATGACAAATTAAATTTACCCAAAAATTGGAAATTAATAAAATTGCAATTTAGACAAAATTTTTGAGGTAAGTGTATATATATATACCTATATATATATATAACAAAAGTTTCAAATTTTAAATATATTTTGATACACGTCTTTTTTGAGAGGAAAATATTGTAAAGTTATTGTTAAGTTAATTGAATGAAGTAGATATAATTGTATTTATTTGAAATTTGATGTTTTTAATAAATATTAAATACAATATTGGTATTAAATTAATAACTAAATCCAATAACACACTAGATATAACAACATTTTATACATAAAATTATTTAATTTATTTAACAGTAATAAAACCTGGAGGCTATATTTCCATATAACATAATTTAATTAAGTAATGAAACTAATAATGTGAAATTAGATATTTTCAATTTATATTTATATTTCAATTTATATTTTAAATCCAATAATAAAATACGTATAACATTATGTTTTACATAGGATTATTAAATTTGAATTAAACTGTCAGTTGTGACAGTAGTTACTATTTAACTCAATGGAAACTTTTGTATTGAATAGAGTGATATCAAACAGTAGTGCATTGCAACAACAAAAATTTTTAATTATTTTTAATTAATTAAATACTTGAGTTTACTTTGGCAATATTTAAAATAGCTGTATGCTCAGCCAAAAATTTAATCAAAGAAAAATAAATAAAAATGTTTGTTGTTGCAATTCATTACTGTTGGAAACCTTACTATTAAATACATGAGTTTATTAAATTAATTTAACAAAAATAAAAGCTAGAGGCAGTATTTCGTTATAATATAGTTTAATCATATAATTAAACCAATTATTTGAAATTAAATATTTTTAAAAAATATTAAATACTATATTTATATTCAATTAATAATGAAATCTAATAATGCAATGGATATAGCATTATTTTATATATACAATTATTTAATTTTTCATTAGCAATAAAGACTACAGGCAATATTTTCATATAATATAGTTTCAATAAGTAATGAAAATAAAATGTAAGATACAAATATGTTAGCTACATTAAAATATTATTTAATACATAAAAAAGTCTAATTTATTGAAAAGAAAATCTGATTACAAACTTTAACCTTTTTCGGTTTAGTTGGAAGTTCTGCATTTTTATTTCTTATAAAAATTTCCCATTCCCCATCCTACTCACTCTGGTTAACACAAAAACTTCTGTCAGTTTCTAGTAAAGAAACTCTGATGTGAGATAATACTTTGTCTACGGACATCACATATGTGAAGTTATTATAGGAGGAGCAGAATTTACTGAATCTAAGTCATTATTCTGATATAATATATATTAATAATAAATTTTAAATTATGTTTTTAATAAACTATCGGAAATTACTACAATTAAATAATTATAATATTATAATGGGTTATTTGATTAATTATTTTTAACTTTTATCTAAAATAAATCGGTTTAATTATCTCAAAAACACTTCCAAATCAAAAGCATTTTTTACAGCAATAGACGTCCATATATAGGTCATTTGTTTTCAAGCGAAACAGATTATGACCAAAATCATCTTTAATTACGACGAAATTTTTTTAATGTTATCCTTTTTATAAAAATATCCACGTTTTGGGAAATAATTTTCTAGTTTGTTTTTCTAAGAGATACAGAATCATTGGTTTTCCATAATGCCCATCTTTGACTAATTCTTAATGCTCATTTCACAAACTCTTTAAATAATAGAAATTTAAAATTTTTTAAGCTATAAAAATAATTGATAGAATATTTTAGAAATATTCATATTCATTAAAAAAGTATTCATTAAATATTCATTAAAATTGTTTCTATTTAAATGACCGATATACATTTTTAAGAAATTTTATAATGAAATATAATGATTACAATCTAATCAAATAGAAATCAAATCCGATAATCTCATATTCGTAACAAGTAATAATTTACATATAATAATAACTGATAGTCAGATTTCCAAAAAATTTATTATTGTCATTTATAATATTCTTTTGCTTATATGATTAGTATAAGAATTTCATAAACAATAAAAGAAAATCAGAGTTAATTGACTACTGATTCAATTAATCCAATAACCACCATAAATTATTCCATTAGAACTTAGAAGTTGAGCAAAGTTAATTAATAGCAATAATTTTTACATCGAACAAAAAATAAATATTGACGTATTTATTGGCCCTTTTGTTATTATAACTTATGAAGGTAATAATTTTATTTGAAATATTTAAATATAATTTAATCATCTTTCCTAAGTTTACTGCGAATTTTGTATTGAAAGCATACAATAAGGCAATTAAGTACACTTAATTGATTTATCTTAGCCATAATTCGTTTAAGATACACTTCATTGATTTATTTGAAAATGGATTAAAAATTAAAAAAACAAAATATAGTATAGGTATGATTCTATTATACTATGCTTTATTAAATCGAAATGATCAATTAAAACCATTTCTACTACTTTTTGATTACCTTTTGATTTATTGAAATAAGTTAATGCCAGCTTAAATGGGGCAATACGGGGTTATACTGGGTTTAAATTATGTACTTTGTTGGTGGAAGTTGACTTTGAACTCAAAACGAGTTACCAAAGTTGACTTTGTCGTATAGAAATAGGTACAACAAAGTTGGAACTTTCACTTAAAGTTAACTTCATTTAATACCTTTTCCTAAGACAATGATGAAAATAATGCCCTACCGCTAAGTTTTTGGTAAATGGCGAAATGACAACAGATTTTTGAAATAATATATTGGTACCGCCAAGTTAGCAACTTTGCTGGTGAAACTGCATTACTATTTAAGAATAAGTTTTAAAAAATGTTTGTTAAATTTTTTTAGAAATAAGTATTTAATATTTAAGTTGAAATATTGAAATGATATTAATTTATTCTATTTCTTGAGCATACATATTTTCTGTACTTCTGGAATTAAAACTTACGTACATTAAATTAAATACCTTTTAAATTTAACACCCAAAAAAAGTGCAGAAATAGCTAATTGACAATTGTGATCTAACTGTATGTATAACATACCCGCTGGAGTACAAAAAAGATATAAATGCTGAGCGCAACTGATTTAACTGTTTTTGTTTTTCCATATACTACCGAATTTCTAATAGAGGAGCAAATAAGTCGGAATCGTATATGGTTTATTTATTTATTAAGTTTTTATATTTTTTTATACCCGGCTTAGTTAGTTTATTCAACACATAAGTTTATGAAAATGTTTTTTTAAATAAAATAAAGAATCACACTTTTTTAAACAGTGTTAAATATTTAGTTATATTTAATTTTTATTAAAACAAAAAAAAATTATTTTAATATACAGATATTTCGGTCTACTTCGTAGACCATCTTCAGTGCATAAACAAAAAAAAAGTTTATTTATTTATATAATTTTAAAGTAATTTAATCCTTAAAGCATTAAGGAATTATATTCAGTGATTGTCTCTGCAGAGAGGGCAGAAATTTTTCTTAAACAAAGCTTTTAAGAGTTTCAAAACTTGTGTGACCACAGAAACCCCAATGAGGCAAGGCAGAGTTTAAGTCTGATTTATGGATTATTATGACAATTCCAATACAAATGCTAAAGATTCTCTTGACTTAAATGTAGTTAAAAATAAATTTTAAATATATGTGGTATAAAATTTAGAATAAATTATGAATAATTTTAATAATCAATATGTATTAATATGTATTAATATTTTTAATATTTACACAGAGGTTTTCGAAAAGTAGTGAACTACAACAACAAAACTTCTTTTTTATATTATTTTTATTTATGGAATTTTTGGCTTACTATACATTTAATTTTTGAGAAATATTTGAATAAAAATACTTTTAAATAAAAATATGAAATTTAATATTGTGCAAAAATGCATATTATTCAAAATTTATACATTTCATTCTATTTCTAATATATTTAAGTATTTTTTGTATTTAAAAATAAACTAATATTAAAATATTTTAAAAATGTTAACAATACATTTATGTTAGAAATATTTATAAAAATTAAATAATTTTATTTATCCACAAACTAAACAATTTTCCAATTTACTTAACATATTTCACATGACAGGCAAAACATTAACCAAACAACCGAAATAATCAGCGTACCAGACACACAGGCTACTAAAATAGCAACAGCAACAACCACACAACAACAACCATTACTTACAGTGCAGAAAAACAACAATAAGCAAGCAATAACAAAATGACACACAACTACAACAATAACAATAACATGACACTGCCAACAACAGGAACAACTTCAACATATTTTACATACAGCATACCAGGCATGGACATAACGCCAGGACCACTTGTATTCACCTATGTTAGTGAATTTTTATCATTTATAACACCAGAAGAATTACCACTCGGTAAGTGTGTTACCTGCAGTACAAGTGCATATGCACTCGGTTTCGTGTGAGTGCACATGTAATAGTTAATAAACTACACACACATATTTGAATGCACACAAGGGTTTCCAGCAAAATGTCGAAAAAAAAAGTTAATAGTAAGTGGAAATCCCGTCTCTGCTCAGGTGAAGCCTCTTAATATTTGTGTTTGCGTGTGTGTATGTGTATGTGTGTGTCATTGTAATTTATTTCAGCTATTAAACAAACTCCTTTGAGCTTGTGTGAGTTGTACATGAAGCATATGCCATTCGAAATTGCTGTAAAGCTAAGCATGTGGCCTGCAATTGTAGCGCACTTTATAGTTAAGAGTGGCTTAAAACCATTTTAAAATTTTATCCTTCACATTTCCAATTTGACACTTTAATAGCGTAATTGCGCGGGAATTTTTTTCCATTTTCTGGAATAAGAGTAAATCCAGCCGGATATGTGTATAAAAAAAAAATAAGCAAACTTAATTGGAAGAGAACATTTACTTATATATCTTTTTTTTTTTGTTTTTTTTTTTGGTACAAACTTAAACTTACAAAATTACAGAAGTCAATTTATTAACGACAAAAGCAGTAAGGTCCTGAATGAAAGATATATGAAATTATACGAAAATGTATACATATTGAAAACATTAAAACCGTTCATTTTATAAGCTGATAGATTTTAACATATTAATTAAATACGACATGACGTGGTAATAAATAAAATTTAAGTCTAATAGAAGAGTAAATTATTGTATGTAGTCTTCTCTGAAATCACTAAGCCTGACATTATAATCAGTATATAAACATATGAAATTCATATATTTACATATTAGAGTCGCTATATAAGGGTAGGTATATTAGGGTAGCTATATAAGTAATAATACCGTGGTAATAAAGAAAATTTGTCTAATAGAAAAGTGAATTATTGTATTTACTCTTTTCTGAAATCAGTAAATCTGACATTATGATCAGTATATAAATATATGAAATTCATATATTTACATATTAGAGTCGCTATATAAGGGTAGCTATATTAGAGTAGCTATATAAGTAATAATACCGTGGTAATAAAGAAAATTTAAGTCTAATAGAAGAGTGAATCATTGTATGTACTCTTCTCTGAATTCACTAAGTCTGACATTATAATCAGTATATAAATATATGAAATCCATATATACATACATATTAGAGTAACTCTAAAAAATTTTAGTTTCTGTTCAAATTAGTTTTATTATTTTCTAATACATTGGTAAAAAGTAAAAATGTATGGAAAAAATTTCAAAAAAAAATTAATTTTAAGACTTGCCGCAACACCATTGAAAGTTATATTTTTAAATATTTTTTTTATAACTTTAAGTGTTATAAACAAATAATTTCTGAAGAATAGTCCTTTGTTCTTCACATATTGCAGATGGCTTCTATCCACTCTAGAGTCTCTTTTTTCATGTGGCACATGGATTTCACTAGTATAGTTATAAAAGATATTGTCTATTTTTATTAAAACGATGGTTTATCGGCCTTCTTTTTAGAAGAAGGCTGTCTTATATGACAGAGCCTGTACAAAAGGTGCTTCTAAGATTTATCATCTACATTTTCCCAATATGATAGAGAGTATTTAACAATTTTGTGGACAAAATATCTTTTCTATTAACTCATTTTATGTGACATCATCATTTTATGTGACATCATCCAATTTAATAAATTCGACTTGAATGCAGTTTATTCAATATGAAAGAAAAAATGTTAAATAATATTAAAATTTAAATGATAACTCAAGTTTGTTTCTAACAAACTTTATTATTTGGCCAACCACTTAAATAGGAAATTGTGCCTTAGAACCCGCATATCTTCCATATCTTCTGACTCATATCACGAAACTTTTTATGGTTTCTTGAACGAAATATTAAATTTTTATTAGAGGAAAAGTTCGTTATTTATAATAATGTTCCATAAACAATCTGGAATTAGGACTAAGTCAATGAGGGACTGTGGTAGATACAAATATATAACAATCTTCCACAATCTTTACGAAATTAGTCAATCAACTGCTTAATTAACCAAACTCACCTGCAATGGATCTGATGTCGCATTTGAACACTTCCATAAGGTTAAGAAGTAAACAACCAATATTTTTCCATAGTAAGTGCTTAATCTACATCATTTCTTAAAAATATATATGGATACGTCGCTGAATGTTGTATATATTTTTGTATACTTCTATGTATATACATTTTATGGTAATAAAGTAAAAATATTCAAAAATTATTTCCAACAAAAAAGTTGATTTTTTTTACTACAAATAATTAATATTGTTTAACATTTTTTAATGATAATATTAAAGTTATTATAATTTTAATTAATAATTATATTTGCAGATCTGGTGAGAGAAGCGCTACATAAAAATCTCACAATAGTGGATTTCGCATCAAATGTAAGTAAAATATTAATTTAATCTAAGAAATCTTATTAAATAAAAAATTCCAAATAAAATTAAATAAAATCCACATTAAATATTTCTTTATTATATAAAATATTAAATTCTGTTTTATATATTATCTATGTAAGGCCATCAAAGTCGAATCTGGTTTTATAGCGATTATGACAATATTTGCGATTTTTGCATTTGTACCATTAATAGCCACATGCGCTTGGTGTTGTTGTGGTCGTCGTTTAGATGAAGAAGAATTAGCCCGAGATGGTCCAGTTACAATGATGGACGAATCTCTAGAAGATACTTTAATCTGCCGAAAGCGTGCATCGGTAGCAACACTATGGATAACGTTTATATTTTTAGTGTATGTTTATTCTTAAAGTTTAATTTTATTTTTATTTTATTTAATTTATTATTATTTTTTATAGCTTAAGCGATGTTTGCATATTTTATGCTAACAGCCGTTTGGCTTCTACCGTTGAAATGGCACCAGAAATGGTTAAATCTACCGTACATGATATGGAAGTGTTTCTAAAAGACACACATTTACAAATCAAACATAAATTAGATAATGGTTTTCATGTTTCTGTTGAGAAAGTTGTTAAGGACTTAGAGGGTGAGTGATTAAATTTTGACTGATTCCGGATCGAATCATAGACTTTTCTGATCTAAAATACTGAACTGAAGATTGAAATTATATAAGTCATTTTATTGTACTGAATAAATGCTCAAGAGAATCAAATCTCTCAACCGAACCACTTCAGAAACTTATATGGTTTACTGTCCGGAGAGTTTTTGTACTTTTCTAACAATTACGTAATAGATTATTTTTGAAACTAAATTTATTTCTGAAATACCAATAATATTTAAAAATATTTAATATGTTTATTGTTATTAATTTTTTATGCAGACGTTGATGTACTACTTGGAGAACCAATTCAAGCGGAAATATCTGCAAATACAGGTATCGAACTGGCATATGATTCTTTAGCTACAATCAGTTTAGGTAAGATAATAAATATTTATGTTCAAAAAAAATTATTTAAGAGTTTTTCATACTATAATAATCAGAATAAAACGTTATAAAAATTTCGTTAGAAAAGATGTGATATATTTTATTTAATTAATGTTCTGATCATTTATCATCATCATCATCCGTGACTATACAGTCCATGTAGAACGTAAACCTGTTTAACAACAGTCTTCTATTCTTCTCTGTTTTTTACTTTTGTTTTCCAATTCTTAGAATCATTTCTTCTAAGTCCTGCTGCACACTGTCTTTTCATTATTTTCTTGGCCGTCCTCTTCTGCTGCTGTTTCGTATTTCGTTCTCATAAATCTTAACCGGTACTCTCATATTCGGCATTCTTATCACAGATCATTTACTATATAACACAATATTTTGATTTTTCGATAATCCTTCAACAAAATGGTTCCTAAGTTCTATGAAATTGTACTATTAATAAATTAAATCAAAAAGTTATTGTTTTCATGTAGACCTCCAGTATGTATGGTCCCAAACACTTAATATGTTTATAAAGCGATTGTTGACAACAATTTTAATTAAAATTAGAACAATTAGAATTAATTGTATAATATTTTTTTATATTGTATATTATATTTTATATTTATATTACATTTTTTATTTTTTTATATTAATTTTTAATATTTTTATTATTGATTTTTTAATTCCATGAACAACCTTTTAGCTATTCTTTATTTCTTTTTATGAGTTATATTGAGCACTGACTGCAAGTGTGAGTGAAGTGAGAATACTCAGTTTTTAATTGAAATATATTGAATTTGAATTTACTTAATGTTTAGTGTTTATTTTAAATTGTATTTCAATTTTGTATATAAACATGTAAAAGTTTAGTTTGTAATGAGTCACTTTGAGTTTTCACTTTCAGACTTAATTATTTTAAAATGACATATTGACGATTTATTTAATTGCAATTCATTAACACATAAAGCAGTACTCGATATATATATATATTTTACCTTATTTTTACGATAATATAACTCACTAATAAACTATTAAATGAAATAATTAATTATTGTAAATGTTAGGATTTTTATATTACAAAACACTCCTCGAAGCTCTTTTCTTTACCAATTAATTTTCTATTTCAAAAAATTTTCAGGTAATTGAAGTAATTAATTATTGATTAAATTTTTTTTTATATTTACGTTACTACAGTATTTTATAGAACTCATTAAAACTTTTAATTAGTTCTCATAATTATTTATTAACATTTTTTAAACTTAAAACATGGAGAGAATAATATGTGATTTTAATCGAATCATATTTTTTATCTACGTTTTCCATTTCCATCATTTCAATATTTTTAAATAATTTTTTTGTCATTTATTGATTGTATAGAAAAGCAACTACTAACAATTTTTATAAAGAAAATATGTCAGCCGTAAATTCCGTTTTAATGGTGAACGGAACTGACTGCTGTGAGATAAAAAATTTATTATGACTAATGATGAATTCATTGAAAATTTATCTGCCATTTGTTTACAAAACTAATTTGCACTGCATCAAGATGTTATTTGACGTTGTATCCGAGGAAATACTATAGCTCAGTTGATTAAATATTGTTCACTATAATAAAACTTAGTATCTGCTAAGCAATTTAATTTATTTTTATCTTACGGAATTGCAATATTTTATTTTGAAAATGTCATCAAAAGTTGTTTCAAAGAAACTTGACCTACATTTGTGTAAAACCCATTTATGTCACACATGCCCGAACTACCCAAACTATCCATACTACTCTGACATACACCAACTCAGTAGTCGGACTTACATACAACACATTTATAGCATCATAGATTTGCAGTGTGGCAAATCTTTTATCTACTTTTATCATAATTTAAAGCAGAAAGGCAAGGATATTTGTAGCATGTTTTCTATAATTTTTTTCTTCTTCTTTTTCGTTCACTCTACAGCAAATGCTGAGTTGATATATCGTGTCCTTATGCTGCAAGAGACTGTCGGACGCGCCTTGAAAATATCACAAGAGGCTGCTGCACGTATGGAGGAACTACAAATCCAATTGTCCGTGTTGCAACGTCAGTGTACATATCGTGATCGACCACTTTGCGATACACTAAGGATAAGAAGTTTCGAAGAAAATGGCATTATTGAAGCACTCAAAGCGGTAACTTCTCGAACACAAACAAACTTACAAACACAAACAATCTATCAAATTGCAATAACAACATAAAATGCAATAAAAAATATAATAAAAATGAAAATAGAAATAATAATAAAATTTATACAAAAATTAATACGGATATAATGTTTGTGTAGATACTTTATGGCAAACTTTTATGTTATCAATTTTCGGAACATATTTTTTATGTCATTCATACACCTTTTAACGTTTAATTTTTCAGTTGCAAGAGGACCAGACGATATTCCGTATGCGATATTTGGGTGAAATTGAATTTGGTGCAACTGTCAAGAATCTGTCGTCGGAGGTGGGTGTGTCACGTTCAATATTTAGCAATTATCCGCAACAAGTTAAACATGACACGGCATATGAACGAAATTGTAAGTTTAAACAATGTAGTTTCATGTCAATTAATTTTATTTATTTATTATTCATTTAATTTAGCAATGCTCATTAAATACTCTGGAAACAGCTAAAAAATTGGATATTTAAATGTAGACAGTAGCGTAGCTAGAGTTAGTGTGTTCCGCAGAGGGACCCTTTAACACTTCCATCATATACATATATCTTCTTCTTAAAACTAATTTAAGATTATAAAAATTATAAAAAAAAAACAAATAATTTAAAGGTACCTTTAAATAAGTTACCCCTACCCCACCCCACCGGTGAAACCACATATTTCTTCTTAAGATGATTTAAGATTATAAAAATGATAACAAAAAAAAACGATTAAAGGTAATAAGATAAATGTCTTGTTTTCTTTGTTCCTAATGCTTAACATATGATTAAGCTACAGTTACTTGTTTGAAAAACTGGCAACTCTGACTAACTCTCACTTTCCATTATATAAAATACATTATCTAGCGACAGTAATTTGTACGCAGTATTACAATAATGTGTTTTGTTAGCTTCGTTTCTGACATTTCTAGCAGGAAAGGAGTTAGAATAATCCCAGGATAACGCATGCCAGTCATAAGAAACGACTTAAATCCAGGTAAGAAATGTCACTCAAAAGAAACGACTAAAATGCAGTGAGTTTCACTTGCCGTACCTGGCCGGAGGTGTAAATCTGATACCACGGTAGTTAGAGCCCAAAGTTTCAGCTGTACTGACCACTAGAAGTTGACTCTTTTGTAATGAAACTATCGTGTTGACTCTGGTTAAAACCCACAGTTCTACCAATAGAATGTTAGTATTCATTTACTTTTATTCGATCTGAAGACGTATTTTTAAACCCATTGCTGTGACACAAAATGAAAACTGTATTCAAACGTATAGCTTCAATTGTTACCGGTGGAGTTCCTTATAATTCTAATAGTAGTGTTTATCGTAGCATTATACTGCTAAGTGCGTTATGAGTACATTTATGTCCATTCAAAGGCCTATTTTGACCATTTCATCAGCTAATTCGTTTTTTTCGATATATTTATACCGAGGAACCTAATAAAGAATGAAATTGAGATGCTTAATACTCATTATTGAGACGGGACATTTCATTTCGAATCTTAATTTGACTTTTCTATATTCAATTTTCTTCACTGCTATTTGAATGCCAAGAAAGATAGTCATATTTGAAGATCGAATCATATTACTTTCAATGATTTTTCGATTCGGTATATAAAAACTCAAAAAACATAGCAAAAATCACAGATATCTGCTCGGTATATAGCATATCCGATATACCATTTAACATAGTTCCAAATATTCTTTATAATTTAAAGTTTTGGTGTCACCCCTCAACGATAGTTTTAGAAAATACGTCTGTTATTTAAATATTTATATTGTGGATTTTCACTTAGTACTTTAGATATCTGGTGTTATATAAGATGCCAGTATATTATATATTAAGTAACTGTTAAATATTATTAACTAATAAGTTATCTCTTAATATTTTTCACAATTGCGCACCACAATTCTCCATCTCGGTAATTATGTCACTGAATGGAAATAATGTTCAATTATATTAAATTCAATTCTTACAATTTAAAAGTAAATATTTTCACTATTAAAATATTTAACTATTAATTTAGTAAATAATTCTCGTAGTATTCAACCTAAAATAACCTGCTTAGATTTCTCAAAAATAAATGGAGTCAATCCGTTTGCGAACACAAATTATAGAGATTATATACACAAAATGCTTCATGAAAGATACTTTATACTTTCGAGTTTTGTGAAATACTCATCATCAGTGATCTTGGAATTATTTCTTATATGTAATTATTTATAAATAATTTTTTTTGAGACTGCAATTATAACGTTCAACCCTTAATTCGTGCCCTGCCAAATTTGAAGCTCAGAGTCAGTGTTCATTAGCCAACTGACACAAAGCTATACATGACTTATATGTTCGTATATGTTCGAACTTGAAGTTTTTTGTTAATTTTCAGTGAAAGTTCATTAACAAATTCACTTGGAGTGGGTTTAGAAACTTCCTGTATCGATGGATATAAATGCTCCCAAGTGCATATGTCTCACTTGTGATGTGTAGATTTCAATGTAGTACTATAAATGTTTTTATTTCGTTTAAAGCATCGATATGCCTTTATATATTACTTCTTGTGGTTTAATATTAAGCTAGTGACTTTGATACTCAACTATCTTATAGCAGATAGATCCCAAATCCTTAGGTTATGAGTGCCAAACACTAACGCTAACAAAGGACAGATTCAAATATCTTATTCTCATAAAAATTTTAAAAATTTAGTCACATAATTCCTTAGTTACTTACAATGAATACAACAAATTCCTTTTCTTTTCCAAAGCTTTAAAAGGAAAACTTTCATTTTGCTTTGTCGTGTTATTTAAAACCGAGTTATGAAGAATACAGTAATATACATATAATCCATCTTCGAAATATTTTCATTGTATATTATTAATTCTGTCTAATTGAAATAATTTCTTAGCAAAATTAATTGAAAATAATCTTATTCGACTTGAGTGTTCACTTTATTTAATGTTTTCAAAATGAAATGTTCAATTAAATATATTTACATAAATTCATAACACTCAAGTACATATTAAATATATTTTACTACACAGTCTGAGCTTTCCTAACATATCAAATTAAATACAATGAAGTATAGTAATATAAACCAAAATATTAATTAACAATTCATAAAAACACACAAATTAACAAATAAGTCTGTAAATCAGTATTGGCATTTGATGTGCGCATATACATGCATATCCTGCAGCAAGGATTAAATTTTGCCTGTGCTTGGAAAATTTGTTAGAATGTTCTACACGCCTAAATCAATTAGGCTAGACGACAGAAATACAAAATATTTAATGAACTTATAAAAGTTTAAAGCAAATTAAATTACTAAGCCAAGCTCAGTATAAATTATACAGCATAAATAGGATACACAGGATACACAGGATACTGAGTACACACTAATGGCTGGGCAATGGTGGTTTGAAATCACGCCGCGCACAGGCACTCTTGCTCACATAGACCAATTTAATCATTAGCACATATTTACACGTATTTTACTAAATAAACTGAAATATTAAGCATTAATAATCACGTTGCAATGCACACTTTAAACAGATACCTTGGAGCAATTGGAGAATATAAGGCACCGCACTACGGCGAACGCCCAAATGCTAACATCGACCATTAATGTGCTCCTGGATCGGTTGCAGGGGACATGGGAAAGTGTACAACCCAAATATAACGAGCTGCAGGAATGGTCAAATTATTATTGGACAACTGGTTGGATAACGGGCTTGGTTATCATTTGGGTGCTGCTATTTGCAGTAATGGCATATTGTTGCTTCCTTTGTGAGTCCAATGTGAAGGCTGGATTTGTGCTATTTATCGCCGTGTTTATTATATGTGTCGGTAGTATTTGCATTACGCTGTACGGTGTGTTGACATTAGCCGTTGGCGGCAATACTGAAATTTTCCTGTGTCGTGCCTTGTACGATGGCAGCGCTGATAGAGGTAACGAATTTAATATGCTAGGTAAGTTATTGGACAAACCGGGCTATATGTATGAATATGAACCACAAAATGGCATAATTGGTGAACTATTACGTCCAAATGGTGTAAATCGCTCAATTGTGAATGTTAGCTTGGCAACAGCCTTGAGGTATGTACACATTCTACATAACATATCGCAAATATATTCAGTTTCCTAATATTTAATCAGTATAATTATGACTAAAAACTATTTGTGCAAGTAACGCTTAGTGCTAAGTTTGAGTTTTGTGTAAAAGAAAAATTATTGCTAGATATTGTTATTATATTTTTACCCATTTGTTGTGAGAAAACTTCGATAAATTATTCTAACAAAAAATATATTTCTACATATTAGAAGTAAGTAGTAAGTCCATTTTCATAAGAAGATATAATTAATTAAATTTGATATAAAATGAAATTTTTAGTTAAACCGAATGAGATAGTATAGGTTAACCATCAGATCGTAAAACCAATTTCAAATAATTAAATAATTCTTAATTAAAAATTGTGTCAATCAGATAACTCTGACTTAAGACACCAGTCCAAGATGCTATTCAATTACTTGATATATAAGTTTATAATTGACCATTTAGATCAAACTCTAAGCATATTATATTTGCATCCAATGGTTTAACCAATTAATCGGTTTGTATGTTAATATTCATTACTAAGCTTTGCGAGGACTACTTTCTGAAGTTAGTTCTGCTGAATTTCTTTATTTGGATCTTTATTTGGATCTCTCAAAAAAAAGAACAAGCGTCTTAAAGTGTTGATTAAGGTCAACACAGGAAGATATCAGATCACTAATTGAAAATTTCCATGGACCCGGGATGTCGATCATGTCTTGAAGATATGGATAATATAAAATATTACGACAATTTTTGTCTAGCACTTGCAAAAACTACATTAAGATTGCTGGATTATGAAATCCAACATGACAGGTGAATATCACATGACTGATATGAATATTCTGATAGATTCGAGATGTCTATCATGTCTTAAAGATGTGGATAATAGAGAATATTTCGACAATTTTTGCCTAGCACTTGCAAAAACTACATTCAGATTGCTGGATTATGAAATCCAACATCACAGGTGAATATCACATGACTAATATGAATATTCTCATAGATCCGAGAGGTCGATCACATCTTGAGGATGTGGACAATATAGATTACTTCTACAATTTTTGCCTAGCACTTACAAAAGCTAGATTAAGATTGTTGGATTATGAAATCCTTAGCATTAATGATATTCATGCTCTCTGTCAACCCGATTTTCTTGAAGTCAATAAGAACACAAGTGGTATCATATGGACGTTATTGGTACCACTATGTATCTAATTATATAGATTGCACACATGTACATATATACATATATAAATATAAATTAAGCTTAAATTAATTATAAATTAAGCTTACTTTAAAAAAAAACCTATCTTGTAATGTTCGTTTTTCTATATTCGGTAAGAGATGTTCACGTTTATACTTTTTCGGCCATTTTCTGTAAATTTTCAAAACGTGTTTAGTTGACTATTACAGAATTGAGTCGTCTTTGGGTGATGTCCAATGGTACATTATTATTCCACAAAATTCGATATGCTTTGCCAATGCCTATTGGTGACTCCTTCAGGAAGTATATAGAGAGAAATATACAGTGATCTCATGAGTAATTTTAAAATAAGTTTTCTTACGGTTTTGACTTTTAAAGTTATTATTTGACAATAAGATATCGAATTTGAGGTAAACGCACTTATTTAATCCATTTCAATTTTATTTTAATTTATTTTTTATCCGATTTTATTTAACGTTTGTATTTTTTAATTATATTATATAAAGAGGTTTTGGAAAAGTAGTGAACTACAACAACAAAAATTCTTTTTTATATTATTTTAATAATTAAGATTTTTGTCTGACCATATATTACATTATATTGTATTATAGAGATATGCGAAATTTTTCCATGTAATAATTTATCTTTAAAATTGTTTTGTAAAATTAATTGTGCTTAAATAGTGATAATAATTTTCTTATTAATTATTGTAGCTTACAATCATAAAAACATACATTTCTTGTTAATCGTACAGTATCTGACACATTTCTTGTTAATCGTTATTATATATTCCAACTCAATGTCCATCAAAGTAGTGACATAAAATTATTTTAGTTAAATTAATTAAATATGTGCTCCAATTAGTACCACATTGAACGTGCTTCTTTTATGCACCTGCCCCTAAGGATATTAACGTGTATCGACCACTCCAATCAATTGAATTTATACATTATAACCTGAATGCACCCAATAACCTTTCTACTTAACTGATTAATATACCAATCACCTTCGAAGCTATTTACCAGTACTCAAATGAGTTGCAAAACGTTGTAAACTGAATTAAATTACGTTTTGTGCAGGAAATTTAATTATATACTCCTAAAATATTATTTACAGCCCTTTAAACAGTTTGATTCCCTTCTTAAATTTAGTGCTAAGTATCTGCAATTATTTTAAAGTATTTTACAACTTCAACCACAAAATAACCACACTAAAGTACACTTCCACTAAATCCAAAGTTCTACTTACCGACATGTGCCGACAAGACAAACACTTACAATGTAGGCACGCTTCCAAATCCTTAAACGCAAGCATAAGTAAATTAAATGTTCCATATAACCGCACACTAGGAGCACATTCGTTCAAGCCAAATTTAATATTGATGTTAGAAACCACAAAACCTATTCTAACCACTTTAAGTGATTTTCTACTAAAATCTTTGTCACAATTCCAACAAATTGCAACACAACCAACAAAATAACAACGACAATGACTACGTCACATACAACATAAAACATACGACATACCACATACGATATACAACAAAAACAATATCAACCAAAATTGAAAACTTTAAATGCACATCCATTTAAAACTCGAACTGAACCGAACTGCAATCTGAACACTCATACGCACCGTGAACTTGCATATATTTGCATACATGCACAATATGTGAATGCTCACGTCATTGGGCTCTAAATAGAGGCTGTGAGCAAAATGAAGCATCGTACAATGTCTTCCAATTGGATGCATTCGTTAATACAACGCAAATTTCCGATTTGAAACAATTTCCAAAAGTGACAACAGCCATCGATGCAATTGATGTGTCCGAACGTACGCTTTTGTCGTTGACGCAGACAATACAAAACATATTGGAGAATATGTTGCAAACATCTTCGTTCAATTTGACCTCATATCGGGCCAGTATTGGAGCACCAACGCCTGAAAAAGATTTGGCTACGTTCATCGATCAAATGCAGAGAGTGGCATTGCAAGTAAGTTATGTTATTAAGTAATTAAAGCACTCCATATATATTGGTTCAATGTAATAGTTTGTTAGCATTCCTAGTAGATTACACAAGTTACGCTAAAAGTAATCAAGGCTAGAAGAACCTATCAACATTTATCAAATGAATTTGTTTTTAAATAATATTGCTAATTTTCCACAGGAACAACTTTACACAAAGTTCTAATAATATGTATAAACCAACTATAAACTCATTTAAAACTACAAATAGAGAAGATTAACTAAATACATAATGTTTAAATCGGCATCTACACTAGCTAGACTTCAGATATTCCGAATTTTTTTCCGAAGAAAAAATTTAAACGTGTTAATGAAAGAGTGAAAGTATGTGCAAATATCTTGTCAAAATAAGATCTTGTAGGCGCAGAGTAACACATTACTCAGCCTTAGCTTAATTACAGGTATATAGGCCGAAGAGAACCGCTTTATGTACTAACACCACCGACCCATGTTTGATATTCTTGCCGAACTCTTCGAATTCTAACCCATTATCATTATATAATTCTCAAGTAATATTTTACGTTTACCATTTGTATTTACGTTTACCATTTGTATTTACGTTTACCATACGAGTTAAGAGTGCTCAATTCTCTTTGAATCGAAGATAACAATCAAAATGATAACAGTCAAATTGATTACACTCTTCTTAAGAAAGCGTACTTTGTTTTCTATTTTCGATTCCACTGGTAATTTCCGTACTATATTCTGGCATTATATTCTGAGTCATATTGGAAACATCACAATTTACATCAGTTACAAAGACCTATATGCTTGATGGACTCCGTTATGTTATTTTTAACATAACTTTACAATACGGAATACCTTAGCCTTTTTAATCTTCTTCAGAGTATGTGATACGTGTATGCACAAAACTCACAATCCGTTTACTCAAATCATCGGTCCAAACGTAATATATTGGGTTTTTTTGACATTGCAGTATCCTCTTCCAGGAGAAAACTTTTTTAACTTTTTTGATAATGTTTGTGACGGTCCTTATCACCAAAACGTAGTTGACCAAACTAACCAAAAATCCTATGCCTGGAACAAGCATTTATTTCCGCACATACGTAATTCAAAGCGTAAAGAAAAGTTGAAATATAAAAATGACTATATCTTAAATTAAGATCATTAAATATATATAATGTATATATAATGATAATATATAATATGATTATTTATGTCACTTCTTAGATTCAATAGAATTCATAATGTCCTACATGATGTTTTCTACAAATCTATATAATCTATACGAAGCTCTCGCTGCATCTAGGTTCGCTAAGAACCAATAAGTCTAGATGTAACTTAAAGCCTGTGAAATTAACCTAATGTCGTCTAATAAAATATATATGTTAAAGTTGATATAAAATCTGAAATGAGATCCTACCAGAGTAATGTTTGCGTTGGGAGAAGTGGCGAAATATTTCAAACTATATCATAACATGATGCCATCAAACAATATAAAGCAAAAATATTAAGTCATTCAGGTATATTTTTGGGGTCGGAAAAAAATTAAATATTGAATCTATCCATTTTAGATTCAAAAAAGTAGTTATAGTAATCTTAAATGGTGATGAATTTTTATGATTCACAGTTTTTTTGTTTTTATAAAAATTACAAAAATTATATAGCTATTATATATATTATTGTGAGGAACTAAATACAATCACCTAAATTATTGTTAGAAAATAATTTAAAATCTACAAATAATATATAAACCTACACACCTATTAAATGTTTGTTTAATATTTTAAATAAAATATAAACTAATTCCCATCATCACCTATTTTCGAAATAAATTCTAATTATAAATTAAACGTTTCTAAATGGAAATGTATCTAAATTATTAAATCACATGAGAAAATAGCTATTATCCTATCAAATACAATCTTCTCCTTTTTGTAAAAATAAATGGTCATAAATGAAGTCTATATCCAAGAGCCATGCAATTAAAAATAATAAAGCATTTCATGCATATTGCTGTTCCTCTGAAACCACCACACGAACTCTACTCACTCAACTCACTCAACATTCCCAAATTAAGCCACTCCGCAGCTTCCAAACACAGTACTATACATACATAGATATATCTACCCCAGATACATAAATGCACACATAAATGCATAACTTATACGTTTCCATACATAAAACAAAAGCATGACTCTGAAATGAAAATGAAAATGAAAAGAATTTATTTTCTTTCAATTGCCACCAACTAAACTGAACCATCGAAATCGCCATCACCATTGCCACCTTTCATGGCGCATGCATGCCAACTAATAGATACAGGATGTTGCCACTTCCTCACGTATGACAACACTTGGTAGTCGATCGAAACGTTTGCAAGCTTCTATTTTGCAGCCATTGGAGCAATTGCAGAACGAAATTCTTTATCATCTGACAGCATTGGAATTGCAGAGAGACCCATGGGCCAAGCAGGTCAATCAGACATTAAACCATTTGCGCAACATACAAGGATACTTGGAAAAGACAGCTACCGAAATATGCCAAAATCAAACACGCATCTATACAGAGAGGTTAGTAGAGCTGCAGTACGCAGCAGTATGTCTGAGTGTCTGAGTGTCTGAGTGTCGGAGTTTCGGGTAAGTACTACAATAAGCGAATTATGTGTGTTTGTGTGGAGTACAATGCAATGCTATGCCTGGCAGAATTGTAATTGCAGCAACCAATGAATCGCCTGTTATTGGTTATGCTGGCTGCTTGTAATACTAATGATGGGAATTGTTATATGTGGCTATGTTCAATGCAATAACGAAGCCATGTTGTTGAGACAACTTCCAGAGAGGGGAGTAGTACAATCTGTGTTATACATAACTTGTATATATTGTGGTGGACAGTGAGTAACCTCAATTCTTGATTGTAAGTGGTAGTAAGTTATTAGACGCTTACATGATTAAATAGCAAATAACCTAGTGTTTTAATATTCAGACACGAGTATTGCATTTAGTATTTGATGTGTTGCTTATCAGATAATTGATTGTTACAGCTCCTTTTCTGTTGTTTCTGGTCATTAAAATGATTTTACAATTTTTGAGTGTGTTATCAATGTTTTCTGGTTCATCAAGAAATTGTTTGGTGAATTACAAGATAAAATGCAACAGTTGTTCAGGTCTCTCAAATAGGTAAATGTATATTTCGAAAACAGTAAGAGGCTTTTCATTTTATTAGAAAATACTTCAGTTATGTGCAATACTTATTTCAATTAGTGAAGTCATGGACTCATAAATTTAAGATTTTCAGTCGTTATATCCAAACATGGTTAGTTGGTTGATTGCAGGTAGTAGATCAGAAACTTGTTTTCCAATTAGCAATTTTTCACAATTTTGCTAAAACTTTTCTCACAATAAACCTTACGGTTTAAGATTATCACACGT